ATTTTCCCCCCATTACTCTGGATTTGAAGTGGGTCAAAATCACTCGCAATAAATCCAGTTATGCTTGGCAAAATGGTGTCGAAAATGCAGAAATATCCATAATTCTGTTTAAGAGGGTGGAAAAGAGCAATATGAATCTTTAGAGAATCTGTGTCTAGAATAGAATACTTTTATACATTACCATTTATTGCACACAAGCATATAATCAAGATTCATCCACAGTCACAACTTGACAAAAATTAATTATCCATACTCGGCCCCCTCCCTATCTCCTGGTAAAGAATACTGGCATGCAGTGCACAATATGACTTCGTTATTTATTAAAATGATATGTAAATCCTGCTAAGGGTCATTTTCTTCGGGCTTATTTTAGCAAGCTGGCACAATTATACTTCTGAAGAAATGCATGAACAAAATGCACTTGTAGCAGAAGCCAAAAATCTAATATTCTTAAAACATGTATGAAATACTGCTGAACTTTAATATCTAATGATTCAATATTAAGTTTACTATTAATTACTATAATCACTATTAATAACAATACTTCATTTCCTCTGTCCAGTATAAACATATAAATACTGCACATTTTACACTAGTCATTTTGTTCTGGCATTTACATCCATGTTAAATGAAAAACAAATTAATTCAATTTATGCAAGATATTCCAAAAATCTATATCTTTAACCAAAGAGTAAATTTAAATGGAAAATGGACTATAAATATCAAAGACTTCTAAGTTACAATGTTTTATACATTTTAAAAATAGTTATTTGATTCTGAATAGTCTGGGAGTTTTAAAATCCTCTAATAGACATTAACTAAAACTAAAAGAGTTGAACAATTTACAGTATCAAATACATACCCAAATTGCTTCACTGCAACATGCTTTCATCACAGCTGAACTAGCACAAAATTAATTGTTGCATACATCAACATTTCAAAACTGAAGTCTTATGAAACATTAAGAATATTACCAATATTAAAGATCAACAGGAAATTATCGTAATCTGCAGCTCTTGAAATGTACATTCTCATTATCTGAATTGAGTTGTCTGAATTCTACTCGCTAAAAACAGTTATTGAATTATGTGCCAAGGACCAATGCAAAATATATTTCCTGGGAAAAGACTGCATTCTACAGTGTGAGATTGCATAATAAGGTGTTGCCAACTTTAACTCCATACATATAAAATTTACAATAAAGACATGTTCCTTGAACTACAGAATTTTTATCTTCATGATTACTATTACTTGATAACTGCACAGTGAAATGCAGCAAGAATTTGATTTTTTTTATTAGTTACTTAACAGAAGTTGCATAAAAAATTTAAATTTTTTTAGAAAAATTACAAAGTGTATTCAACTCATGCATGTTTATAAGAAACAGATAATGAGCTTTTATACAAAGATTATGAAAGGGGTCATAATCTAAATTATTTAAACCCAAGCCCTACTGATTTGTCACTTGCCAAATATGGGATTCCACTAACCTTTAAATTTATAATGTAATAAATCCCTTATTGCATCTCCTTCCATACAGTGGTTTTAATTTCATTCACACACATCATTCTAGTCAATATTCTTAAAATGTATTGATGATGAGGTTAAGAATGGGGATGATATTTAGATGAATTACCATACTTTCAAGTGAATAACTACATCCATACACTCCAGGCATAATACAATTACCATGACTTACTGTATTTGATTGACACACTTAAGACATAATTGTGTGACAAAGCACCTAACAGTCTGAAATCTGTTCTGTGCAAAAATGTTTCAATTAGAAAAAAATAATTATCTAACCATAGGCAGTTACAAAAAAGAGTACAAAAGCCTACTTACAATTCTAGAGGATTGCACGCAATGATGCCGGCAGGTTCCCTTAGATACATTGCAGGGTTCATCATCGGCAAAATATAACTAAATACAATTGACCGACTTTAATGTACCTGCATAGTTACTTCACCGCAATATTTGCAACATTACATAACTGTGTCAGACTTCCAAATCACTGGTAACAGAAATTATTATTTCCGACATTTACGCATGAATGATCTCTTACAACTGCAAACAGTACTTCACTTATGGCCTCAAGGGGGTGGGACAATGTTAATGCCTTTGAACGCTTTACATGCAACCATGGAGGCCACTGCTAGAGCACCTTGCTGTGACAAGACATTCTAAGGGTCATATTGCAAGGCCATATTTACTATTAACCTTATGTGCAACTAAATTGAACTATACTGATCATATTTAAACATGCTACATATATTAGTTATTATCCTTAATATTATTAAAGATATTCCTTTGTATGACATTTTAAGTTGTACATAAGATTGGAAAAAAATACAGCAGTGTGATATGGCCTCAAATTCTCATACTTTGGCATTTAATACCTGTAGTTTAAAGTAGTCTTTCAACACAATTATTAAGAACATGTATACTTTTGACATGGACATGACAAATAAACTGTACACACAAAATGCCCATAATACTGTTTGATGTGTGCAATGAAACTTTTACCATCAGAGGCAAAACCAAAAGTTATTCAATGGTTTATACAAACAAATGTCAGCAGATTTTTTTTTTTATTATTAAAGTTTGAATTTATGAAGTGTCTTCATGAAAATAGTAAATTTAGCAGTCAAACTAATAACACTTTTTCACCACACCAAGAATAACTTTTCAATAGCTCCTGATCCTTTAACCCAAATGGGATGCTAAGTGTCCTTATCCCACTAAGTTACCCAACCAAGCTAAACAGCATTATTGAACTGTTATGCCTAAAACTGATATATAGATCAACATACCAACACTACTGCAAATGAGATATGTACTGATGGTACATAACTTAAGCAACAGTGGATAATCCTAGAGAGATCATCTTACCTACTGTCAACACCATTCTAACCCTTACTTTCAATGTGATGAAAATAAGTTATTACTATCACCTGACAAAGCATGAAATACCTGATAACCTTTTGCATTTACATTCCAGAACCATAATGGAATATTTATATACCAAGGACTAGATCCAATTTACACCCCTACACCTTCTGTTAAGTCATGGAAGACGTAAATCAAGAAAGAAATCATCACCACACCGGTGAAAATTCCTCAGTTACAAAGTAAAAAGTAAACACTCTGTCACCCTGATTATCTTCAAAAGCTAGAGCCTTTGGTCTCTCTCTCTGCAAGTAAAGTACAAACTGGGAAAGAGGCAAATACAAAGTGCGTTCTGAAATCTCCATCACCTATTCAGCTCAGTCCTCAGTGCAGTAATTTCCTCTTCAGGATCTATGATGCCTTCAATGTACAGCCCTACTGCATTTCTTTTTCCTATGGGGCGACATTCCATATATGACAATCTTAGATTTGTATTCACAACTTGCAGACTGGCCGGGATCTGTTCATGGTTGCCAGGATAATGAAATGCATTCCCTGCATTCCACTCCAAGTTAGCAGGATGGCAATGAAGACTTTCAGAAGTCAGCTGAGATTACAGAGGTTGAAGTTTTTCATATCCAGTGGTTTTGACATACAACTTACTCAATCATACTCTAGAATTTGTTTGTGATAAAAAAGGAGGTATCTGAAAGAGAGAAAAAGAGATCAGTGCAGTTGTGAATGAATACTTCTCAGCAATTAAAAAACATTTGATTAGTTAGCCAAATTATCATTCACATACTTGTTCTACACTTATGAGATCAGATGGCACCTGCCAAGTTATGATGAAAAAGTATTAGAGGGAGGGAGTTTTACTGTATTTACAAATATATTCCATTTCTAGCATTATTACATTTGCACAATCATTACGAACTTGCTACTGTCATGATCAATTCACTCTCATACTACATAAATCATAATCATAAGACAATTAAAACTTTTCAGTCTTTCACATTCCTCAATCCCTATTCATAATTTATTGTGTTGTCTGCTGTCAATATTGGCAAATTTAGACGAAAAGGGAAAATACCCCACCATTTATGTTGATAGCTTTTGTGAGTTATCATTCAGCCAAATACCCTGTGGGGTGAGTTGCACCACTCCCAGAGGCCCCTGCACTTAGGCAAGAAAAAAAAAAAATTGCGAGATAAGGGAAAGGGGATGGAAATGACTATTCTTACCAGCTACCTTTCCACCATAATTAGTTCCAAAGATGGTTCCACTGCCATTGTTCAAAAACCACACATTCTTCTGGCGTAGGGAGATCAAACTTTTGGTCTCAAGAACCAAACCAGCTATCAAGCTGTGCATAAATGTTGAAAACAGTGACAAGGTGATTAAATTATTTTTCGATATAGAACTCTTGATTAACAAATGCCCAACACACTTGGGTCATTCAACATTGCACCCATTACCCGCTCCCTTCAATCTTCCTTGAATGGCCTCTAGCACTCCTTCCTCCCACCCCAGATTTACACACACTTTTAATCATCTTATTAATCATGATATAATAAACTACTCATCTGAAAATGACTAAAAGCATTATTGGCCAAGCAGCACCCATTGGATTGTCACTCTTGACACTTTGGGGTGGAAAGGGATTCAAATTTTGTTGAAAAACAATTATGCACCACAAAATTCCATGTTCAGAAAACATAACAAGGTTTGACAACAAAACCAACTGAGCCAGAAAAACACTAATTGATATTATTCATGGGATGTCCATCATTAAAAACTTGGAATAAATGAAACCCACAAGTAAGGAAAAGGAAGCCTTCCAAACTTAAAGGCTCAAGTGTGCCTGATACACTAATTACATTTCACTGAACTACACAAAATACAGTTGCACTGGAAACAGCATACATAGTACTGACCCTTCACTCTGAAGCACATCCTGGATGGTTGCTCGAGTTATCATGTGATCATCACATTTGTACCACTGGTCACGGTGCTGACGCACATATGCTGTATAGTGACCAGCATCTAAGTTGCCTACGTGATTTACTACCGCAAACAGAGAATATCTGAAAATAAAATAAAAATAAGAAAAAATTATCAAGGGGAATGTATCTGAAAGCTACAATCATGTACAGTACTTTTCATACTACAATAATAAGGGTCTTTCAGCAATAAATTTCCAACTAACAATTTAAAAAAAATTTAGTACAGTAGAGCCATGATTTAACCCTTTCAGGGTGAATTCCGGGTCAAGA